TAATAAAATTGAAATATTGAAATGTGCGTTCAAAACTATCATTAAAATTAACAATGAACTCTGCAATTATGAAAAATAATTTGAAAGTATTTATGAACGAATATAGAATTTTGTGTAAAGTATTACTTTTTAAATAATGGGTATCCTTCTTTACGGAGGAATTGTACACCCCTTGGTTGTCATCAATTAATAGAAGACATCCAGGCACACGGGAGAACGCATCCTGGGGCCACGTGGTTATATGGGTTTACTGTTCCCGTAACAACCGAAAATTAAAATAAATGTTGTTAGTATTACCATCTTGTGAATCTACAATGTGTGACCTGTTTTTGAAACAGGGTTTAAATTGCTACCTAATCTAATATATTTCATTAATAGTATTTCATTTTTGAATGGTATTCTCATTTTTCCACATTCTCAAGTACTGTTGTCTCTTTACCGATATTTTATATCAGCTTTCGTCTATTGTTGATGTGCCTTCTATTCTTTCTTATTATATTATTTTTGTAGTGTTTTAAAGAACAATCTATCGTGTGTCACATTACAATAGTAAGATCGGCCTCTGACTGCAATCTCAATAAATGAACATCTAATATAAATCATATATAAATGAGTGAGTAGCTATCCAGGACGCCAATGCGTCATTCACATAATAAATGCAACAAGAGAACGTTTACATTCAAACTAAGGAATGCAAGACGTGAAGAATTACTGAGAAGAGGAAGAGGAGAAAATCTCAATGATGATGGTCGTTTCGGGATGAATAATTAATACATACTGAAATAGTCAGCGGATTTTAATGAAAGGTCATTTTTTTCTTTTTGTAGACATTTTAGTATGTTATGGCAAAAGGAAATAAGTCATTTTTATATAAAATTGTTTTGCATTTTTCGTCGATTTCGGGTAATAAGTAATTTCCCCTTTTCTGTTTTTTTTATAGTACTTTTTGTGATTTCATCGATTTTAATATAATTTTAATGGTACTTGCTTCAAATAAAATTTACGAAGTGCAACAAATGTTCCCCACAGATAACGTAAACATTATCAAGAGAGGATAACCGAAAGGTAGCACCCCTCAAAATTCCTAGGAGCATCTTAACAAATCGTGAATTGACTGCTAGCTGACTGTGCAAATGGCTTTATTAAGGTTCTTCTCCAGAATGCAGTAGAAATTCATTGATAGATCCTCTGGAGTTATTGATAGAATCTCTGGATGAGAATTTGCGTACCTGACTGATGGTATAGACTGAACATTTTCTTTGAACGTTGAGTGACATCGTGAAGGAGAATTAAGTAGAAAGGTGGCACGTCTGAAAGTGAAAACTAGTGTGTTCAGAAATTGCGAGTTGGAGTTCTCTAGTTGCCCAAAACACGTTATCTAAATGCAGCAGAAATTTATTGATAGAGGCCAGATGAGAATTTGGGAGCCCGACAAGTTGTATAGTCTCAGCTTATCATTTGAACGTCCATTTAAACGCGGAGTGACGCCACGAAGGAGAATTAGGCCGCAAGGTGCAAACGAACATCTTAACAAATCAGAAGTTAAAGGTGTTACACTGCTCGAATCACGTTACTGTGATGCATCAGAAATTTGTTGATAGGCCAACTTCTATGTTCCGTTTAAAACATGATTTTCTTCAAAATCACGAGCTGACAGGGGACATTGTCATCGAATCGTCTGCTTCGTGACGACTTAAATTTTTGGAAATGACTCACGATAGTGTCTTCTTCTTTTGGTCAGCTCGTGACCTCGAAAGACACTGTTTTAACCGAAGTGTAGTTGAGAAATTAGGAGCCCGACAGGCGGTGTATGCTGAGCTTATGAGCATCCATTTGCGCGTTGAGTGGCGCCGCGAAGGAGAATGAAGCCGAAAGGTGACACGCGGCAAAGTGCAAACGAGCGTCTTAACATATCGCGAGTTGCAGTTCGCTGGCTGCGCGACCTATTGCGTCGGCACGTCGCGGGGCGGCGCGGGCCAGTATTCTTAGCCGATATGAAGGCCCGCGATTCCTGCGCGGTCGCTGCGCGCTCTTCACGAGCAGCCCCCTCCCGCGGGTGACGTGGCGTCGCGGCGCGGCGGACGCGGAGACGGCCGGCACGACAAGGCCGCGACCGAGGAAGTCCTTGGACTCGGGGGCGGATCCAGCATACCACTTGGGAGGGGGAATCATGGAGTTTTGTTAAATAGTAAACATTTTTGTTATTGTATTGTATATTGTTTTTGTTGTGTATATATGACACAATACAATATTATTTTAAAATAATTATATAATTCTAACATAAAAAATATATTTAAATCAATTTTGCCAAATAAAGGAAGGTAGCAATCAAAAACTCTAGGCATTTTGGGGCGGAGCATTGGCCGCATGCCCCCCCCCCTCTGAATCCGCTACTGGACTCAGGATTGGGGATAGCAAAAACAAATCAATGTTTTTAAAATACTGATATTTTCGATCAAAAATATGTATTAAAATATATATTAAAATATTTTGCTGTTGGTTTTTTCTTCAGATCGATCAGATTTCAGAATTCTCCAGACCGCGATGTTTTCAAAAAGAATTCTCATGATAGAAATAAAAATTACAATATCTAATATCTTTGTGAATTGCCCGCAATCAATTACCACTGTAAACTGTCACTGTAGTCGATTTCCAGGAGGCAAGAAACAGTTTGCTATTGGCAACCTTTCTCTATAGTTATTACTTTTTTAATTATTTTATACGAGGTTATATCCTTAAACTGCATTTTGAAACTTGATCTCTCCAAACATTGATTAGAAAATTAAGAGGACTGTCAAATTTAAAGGAGAATATACAGAAAACCTAATATCGACGCTTTATGTATCACACTAGAACCAACCATTTTACTTCGCTGATTTATGAATGAAAGGGAATAAGCAGAAAAATAGCTAAACACAATGTCCGATATATCCGTTATATTTCCTTCTTTAAATTGATCAACATTACTATTAACATATTTCTTACGCGCGACCAAACAAAATGTAACAGATTCAACTTAGTACTATATTTAAAAAAGTAAACGCTGTGGAAATATACCTCCTGTTTCATCGTATTTAAAACATCGATATTTTAACCATCAATGTTTTTGTCGATGTTTTGTTTTTGTCATCGATATCGAAAACCTTTTGGTAATGTATAGAAGTTTGGCTAATATTTGCCATCGCTAATCAGGGCTGGTCAGAGAGGAGAAACGAAATGGGCCCTACCGGCCACAGTAAGTCTCTCGTGAGGCGTGAATGTTAATATCTCGATTTTTGGTGGAAGTGTACCTTTTCTTGGCGTGACGTCGTTGTTAAAAGAGACACAGGAATGAACTTTACTCACAGTTTACTTGCACATTGTGTACAAGTGTCTATGTTCAAGTTCTGACCTCTTCTCCCAACCGCAAACCGCGCTTGAACATCTCTTATAGAATCGTCTGAGGGTTCCTCTGACAAGTATCGCGTCACTCATGCGTCTGATTGTCACGTGTGCACGCACGATACTCGCCCAGCTTGGGCGTACGTTTTGCGCATAACGAGATGTTTCGAAGATTAAGATCCGCCGCAAATGTACCAGTCTCAACAACAATAACAATGTTCACTTCATTGGAATATGAAAATTTGCGAGTCCGTACAGTGATATTTATCGCATGAAAATGCGGATTTGTGTCTGTAAAATGTCCAGATTTTTTCGAATAATAATTGTGCAGTCGCGTTTTTCATTGTTTCCATTTTGAAGAAATTTACATAGTTCAGTTAATATAACTATCTATATGTATTTACAAGCTTACTTGCTAAACTTAAATATAAAACGTACATGCTTTTACAATGGGGAGGAAATTCCATTTCAGGTCCTCAGTCTGGATACAAATTTGTTCAACAGTGTGTAATATTGATATCAAGTTTAGTTATTTGGTTTTGGTAAGTTTAAAACGTATTAAGGCTGGGAATCGAGGATCGTTATAATAGACGTTGGTGGCCAGACAGTCATATACTTGCAGCCGCGTGTTGAAGCAATATAACCGCTATAGAGATAAACGATTCGTCACCCTGGGATATAGCTACTACTTTGGCAGCACGTGCAAGCGTTAGAATCTTGCTACAAACGCTAAATACACCAAGAACAACATACATGTCACCTTTTTGATTACATATCTTTACACGGTTTTACAGTAGCGGGGTCGTGCATCAGCTGATGTCGTAACCTCGGCTTTGCGTACTATAGCAGTAGTATTTATGGAGTTTACAGCGTCAGAAATCACAGATTCAATATTGCGCTGATTTTATGACGAACAACAAACTCTTGACACTACGTCGTCTCCGTAACCCATTCAGTAATCTTGCCTTGCGTTTCAGCAAAGCCTCTTGATCAGTGCTGCGCCCTACTGGTATTAAGAAGTATTCAGTCAATTTAATTGCAAATTGGTTTCGGCGGTTTTTTGCCTTTAACGTCGCGGATTTGGGCGAAATAATACGGACGAGCCTTAATATATTCGAGTTTAGACAGGACTTGTCCTAATGAGGGCTTATAATGGTGCATTAGAAGTCAGGCGCCAAACTTGAAAAACTGCGAAGGCAGATTGGTAGGGAGGGAGTCCTGAAAGACTTAAGACTTCAAGAGCACACCCTGTCTCTGATTTAAATGGACTAAGGCTATCTTGACCTATGGCCCAATTGATCTATTTTTCTTGCAGCTTTCTTTTTATTTTTATTTATTTTATTAAACATTTTCTTTTATTTAACTTTCAATGTTAAATTAAATAAACTTTTTTTGTATTTATAACTTGTTTCTCCTTATTATTTTCTCCATAATTTCTAATTCTAGTACCGTTTGTAGTCACGTTTGTATCTGATGTTTACAAATAAGTTTCAGCAAAGTGATATTTTGCCTTAACGGGTTATTAGCAATTGAAAAATGATTTGTAGATGATATTTCAGCGAATGTATTTTTATGTTCTGAATGTGAACTCACGTCAGCTTGGTTGTTTCTTTTCACAGGTTTCTTCATCATTGTCACGACAGTTGACTCTGGATTTCACGCAATGCTTTGAAAATGGCAGTAACAACCTTTCGTGTTGCTGATTGGTTGTTAACACAAGAGAAATGCCGTTGGTATTGCTGGTCCAGAAATTGGTGGCAGCGCTTCTTTTCTGGCTTTGCAATCCAAGTTTGAGAGTAGTGATGCTGATCCTACATGATTTTTTTATACAAAAGCTTCATACTCGATTGCTGTAGATCATCATAATGTTGTTTTAAAAAGCTTTATTACAATATTATTCTGTAATAAGTTAATTAAATTTATATTACCTCAATGTTAAATAATGAAAATAATATATCCATTTTCCGTCTGTAAACTGAAGTAGAAGTCATCTTCCTGTTTCGTAAGTAACGAATCCACAAAGATACTCTACATATTGCCCTATTAAAAATATGAATTCAATTTAATATTACCCATTACCTATAATGTTTTCTACACGTTTACAACGTACACACTTAACACCGTTTTCACGCGTTTGACAACTCTCGATATGATTTGGCAAATTGACTGCTAATAATTTTTATATCAATATATAATCTTGTCTATAATTATCATACAAATAATTAAGATAATATAGTATAAATAATAAAAATCTCATTATTGATTCTGGATACGTTCTACCTAAGTGGTTTCGACAAAATATATTGTTGAAAAATTAAAATCTTATTATCCTTCGTAATACTCACTATGTTTTACTTCCGTGACAAAACCGTATATTGAATGTACATGAGATGTGGTATCGGAAAAGAACTAGAAAAAAGTGCGATCAGCAAACAGGCAAGAAAAAGGCAAGTACTTTATTTTTCCTCTTCAGTGGAAGGTCCTGTGATTAACAGAGTCATCAATTTCTCACTATGCTCAATAACGGATTGAGTTTATCTTAATGTCAAAGGAACAATACACAAGAATAAGTAGGTTTCAAGAAGATTGATCACGTACATGTTACAGGCAAAGAAGAAAAGTTAAGTGAATAATGGCTTCCTTCAGTTAGTGTGGCTAAATTGGTTTTAATTCACGAAGTTGTATCTTGCTTCATTTATCATTTCAACGCAACGAAATACTCTCAAAAACACTATTCCCATTGAATAATTGAAAATTGAATAAAAACCGGAACTTCCACTGTACTGTGTTATTCCATTGTACTTCAATACACTTTAATTACCATATGTCTAATGCATGTAAATGAAGAGATATTGAGATAATACCATTCTAATTTAATATTTTTAAATATAAGAGAACTACATTTTGGAATTTGTACCCTCAATAAAACATAATATTGTTTATTATTATATTTAACAATGTAAGTATCATCTATATAGCTCATTAATTTTTATTCCACATTTTTTCCTTAAGTGTACTTTTTGTTTCTCACTGTTTCGTTTGTACATCAATGTTTTATTAACGTCTTTGTACTGTAATTACCTTTTACCTGTTACGGATAATTTATTAAACGAAATCCTCGTGTGCACTATCACAGTCGACTTCGAGGTGCCTCCAAACTCCTTGACATTGCACTTATGCGCTAATTATCTACAGACTCCTCGTACGCCAACGGAGCTCAGGTTCAGCCGTTCTCGCTGCCGAATCGCATCACTCGTCCCAGCACCCACAACGCCATCGCAGACCTCTCCGGGCTTTAAAACACGGCTCTCCAGAGAATGATCACTGCTCACCGCAAACCTGTCCGTCTTACCTCGTCTTGGTGCCACATTTTACTCTTCACCTCCAATCACCCATGCTGCTACCCGACGTCCTCCTGTTTTCCCGTGAAGTTCACCTCGCGACTCCCTGTCACCTGAGCCACACCGATTGAATGACTAAGGATGAATTAATGATTCCGAGCGAGTGAAATGCTAAGGTCGCTGGTCCCGTACGTGTAGTGCACGGGAATTAATGGTGATCTCCTCTTAGATGGCGAGATCCGCCGACATCCTACGTCATCTTGCGGTAATTTTTCCAAACCTCCTCCCAGCCGAGAAAAGCTCTCAACTCCGGACTGGTCTCCTGAGAACCGTGGGATGCATGTGAGTGTGTGTAAGTTAGGGATGAGGATAAGACAAGGAAGAAGAAGAAGAAGAAGAAAATGTCGTACGAAGTTCGTGGCCCGTTCGTAAGGGTATTGCCTCGGTATTCGCCGGTGTTGATCGGCGGATGTTCTCGGTGTTGATCGGCGAAACCACGTAAAACTACCGATCAGAGCAGCCGGCTGTTAGAATTCTCCTGCAAAGACTGAACTCGACCCAGTTGTCGGACAAAATCCTGGCACCGTCGGGATTCGAATTCCAATCCTATCAGCGAGATCCATACTACTTGAAGAATCTTCTCCCTGCCCCGTCTACCATCCACCCACGCAGATCTCCCGTTTCTCCCCACCGCACACGGCCTGTCTCCCCACCGCACACGCCTCACGTCTACCAATGCCTCGCTGCCCACGACTTCCCATTATCCACAACTCCTCGCCGCCCATGTCGCTAGGTGTTCGCATATCCCCGTCGCTCACGTCTTCTCTCTTCCCACCCTGCAGTTTCTCTGAAGCCCGTGCTTGCGCGCTAGGCATTTTTCTCCATCGCACACGTCTCCCTACTTCTCAAGTCACCACGACCTGCATGTTTCCCCGAATGCACATTTCACGCCATGCACCATTCTACGCCATGCACATTTCATTTCTAAGCATATGTCTCCGTCATCACATTTAACAAACATCTTTAGCCACCTGAATCTCCCTTCTCTCGCTCCTTCCTTAAATCTCCATGGCAAAGATAATTTATTCTTGCTCCTCGCACTCCCTGATTTCGTTTTCCTGACGTCACGTGCATCTGCCCTACCGCTCCCCGTCAATGCGACATATAGAGCTTCACTCAGCGTAACACTTCTTACCTCCTCACTGCCCTCCACATTCCCCACCCATCACACACCCTCACTCTTCACTCCTCCCCGTCGTCCACTCCAGCCTTACGTGGAGACGATACCCGTCGCATGTGGATTATGAATAACATCCTCCCAAAACCACAACTTTCGCCATCTCCTCAACCACAACGCAAGTGACGCTCCCGCCGGCGCGGTCGCCGGCTTCCTTGTCATGGAGCAATCGGCGAGGGGGTAGGCGAGGAGCGGCGGCAGGCACGTGGGTGGTTGAGCAATGGCGGCGCGGGAAGCCATAGGGGGAACGCGTGCTGACAGCAGAAGTGATGGTGTGGAAGGGCGAGGGGATGTGGAGGTGGCTGGGCACGAGAGCGGACGTGGGGATCGGGGGAGAACGCAGTGGCAGGGGAGGCGTGGCCCACAGAGGGAACGCGCGGTGGCAGTTGCGGGTGGCCGCAGCAGTGAGTTAGACGCCGGGAACGGGTAGGGCGAGTAGGCGTGAGCGTTTTGTGAATGAGCATGACGCTGGGGAGCGACGAGAGCGCGGAGAGAGCGAGTGGGCGGTTGTAAAAAGAGATGGGGTTGAGCGCGGAGCTGGCGATGGCGGTCCCATGGTTGGCGCGGGGAGCCAGGGGCGGGACGGCGCGAAGGCATCCACGGCAAGCGCGAGAAATGGCAAGGGCGGGCGCGGAGAGCTGACTCAGGAGCGGGGAAGAGCGCTGAGCAGATATGGCGGGGCGGGCGCGGGATGGGTAGGGGCCGAGCGCGGGGAGAGAGAGACGGAAATGGGGTCGGGTGAGGAAGCGGGGACGGGCGTGGGGCGGGTGCAGGGATCGCGATCGGTGGCGGGGCGTGGCGGAGAGGGGCGGGGCGACCAATGGCGGAAGGAGCGGGCGTGGGGACGGGAATAGGAGGCGGGGACGGGGTTGTACATCGTAGGGCGGCGATACCAGGGACGTGGCGGGTTGTGGGGGCGGGCGCGGGCGGGGGGGGGTGCCGGGGGCGAGCCGGGCGGGAGGCGCGATGGGGAACAGGGCTGACGGCGGGGGCGGGGCGGCGCGGCTGTGAGCGCGTGGGCCGACGCGGGGGCCTGGCTCGCGCGTTCGCTCACAGAGCGGCGCGGCGGCGGGCGCGGTGGCGGAGGACGTACATAACGTTCCGGCGCGCGATGAAGGCCGCCAGGCGCTTTGATCAGCGCGGTCGCGGCGACTCCTCTGCGCGCGCCGCCCCCCCCTCCCCCCCGCGCCGGCTCTCGCGGGAGATTCCTTGCGGCTCCGAGTGATCCGCAGCCACAATCACCCGCTGACCAGAAAGCTCTCTCCCTGTGTTCGCACTCGCTCGCTGGAGCTCAGATTTTTTTTCCGCTAGTCTCGCAAGTTGGCTGAGCGAGCTTTAGTCGCCAAGAGCACACGTTTCCAAACGGAAGTCTGCGGTATTTCTGGTGTATCGCGAGTTAGAACACGTATACGCTAAATATAACATGATTGGCGGAACTGAATTCATTTACAATGGAATCTTTATAGCTATTTTTTTTGTACATTTTCGCACTATTAACTTAGACGAGAAAGTTTGTAATGTTGTGGCAAATAACGATTTTTTTTCACAGAAAAAATTCATATTTTGAGGCTCTGATTCCGGAAAAGGTACAAATCGTGTGCAAATATTAGCAAATTATTCCTCTAACTGTTGAACACACCAATATATGTTTTGTAAATTCTTGATCAAAAAATTGTTTTAACGGCAACGCTGTCCTTCCGTCATTCCCTATCGTCGTCGGAGAAACTTAGGCTGCTAAACCGTAGGCAGAATTTTCACCAAAATTTGATATCTTGATGACTGATGTGCTGATCTTGAGTTTTGAAATGCTTATTTTGATTATTGAGGTTACGTTTGGACCGCATACTGCAACTAGGGCATTGGAAACAGAGTGGCATCCTAGACTGAACATTGAAGAGGTAAATTAAATAGGTTTCTCCAACCTATTTTCTAATTATATAATTCATAGCTTTCTCAAGATAAGAACATTTTAGTTCTGTTAACAACACACATCCAATCCCCGCAGAATTAAAGGCTGGATTTCTGATGCTCAAACTGTCCCACGCTTTCAACATATGCAACGGCCGCATCTCATAACATCACTTACTCACATACCATTCGCTACTAAACGCAATTTTTATATTCCAATCCTTCAAAGTTTTATGTTAATCTGAAGAAATTGAACGCATCTAAATAAAATTGATGACTGGTCCGTCAAATGAAAATAATTCAATCATACATCCGCCAAAATATTATCATTAAAAATTTTCAACCAACTCACTTCAAATAACAATCACCCAATTCCATGGACCTTCACGATCAATCTGTCAAGTATCTAGGGCAGACTCTTGATACTAGTGTGACGTAGTGAAATAAGAAATAAATTTCATAAAAAATAAAAATAATATATTCAAAGATTATGTAAAGTTACAATGAATTGCTAATATTGAAAACATCTCGGCAACTTTTCCTTTCGGAACACTGCTTTACCGCAGAAAAATACAAGCCACGGTGATGCGTCGCCGTCGACTCTGTCCCGTGACAATTACGTCAAATGGCCTGAGCAAAAGTTAACCCGGTGTGGCGACCGTGTGCCTACAGCACGTGAGATTGTCTGGCCCTTACACTCTGGGAATCTCGC